AAGGTAGGGGCAGCCTGGAGTCACATGATATGGCATAGACAAGCACACACAGGCTGATAATGGCTGAGTGAGGGCCTTGTCGGGTTGATGGGTATATTTTTTAGGGAAAGGGAAGTAGGAAGAGGGACATAGTCAAGTCAAGATTTTAACATCCAAAACTGGGAGTGTGGATAAACTGTGTCAACACCTTTCACCTTAGCTCGGAGGCAAAAATTGGGTGTTGCTGATTTACTACTGGAAGGTATATTCCCATAAAGTATGATATGAGATGAAGAAGGGGGAGCCCTGGCACACAACACAACGTAATATGCTGCTAATATGTTCACGATTTTCTGTGTATCAGGGAAAGGCTGCTTAGGAGGCATAGGTCATGGCCGTCTGCAGTCAAGCAATAAGATCAGATTGTATTTTGGAATAGTCAGAGGGAAGGAGAGATTAGAAGGTATCTTCCCACTTCCTGTTCAAACTTCACTCCACAGGAAACCAGTCTCTGAATTGTTTCGTGTGGCTCCATTGACAGGTTCTGAGAGCAATATTTCATTCTACAGTGTGGCTTTGCTTGCAAATGTAGAAGCCACAAAGTCAAGCATGTGAATACTAGACCTGAACACGCAGTGGTGGCCAAGGAGAGGACCCAGTCTATTTAAGCAAGTGAAGGATGACAGCTGGTGTAAAGAGGACCTGTGAGAACTCAGGTACAGTGACCAGTGAGGGTGCTGGTGTGAACAGAACCAGGGAGGACTCAGGTATAGTGACCAGTGAGGGTGCTGGTGTGAACAGGACCTGTGAGGACTTGGGTACAGTGACCAGTCAGGGTGCTGGTGTGAACAGGACCAGTGAGGACTTGGATACAGTGACCAGTCAGGGTGCTGGTATAAAGAGGACCTGTGAGGACTTGGGTACAGTGACCAGTCAGGGTGCTGGTGGGAAGAGCACCTGTGAGGACTCAGGTACAGTGACCAGTGAGGGTGCTGGTGTGAACAGGACCAGTGAGGACTCGGGTACAGTGACCAGTGAGGGTGCTGGTGTGAACAGGACCAGTGAGGACTTGGGTACAGTGACCAGTCAGGGTGCTGGTGTGAAGAGCACCTGTGAGGACTTGGCTACAGTGACCAGTCAGGGTGCTGGTGTGAACAGGACCAGTGAGGACT